CTCGCCTCCTCTTGAAGCTAGATTATATAGAGGCTCCCCCACTCAATCAGTGGAGATGGATGACAGATGGATGACGGTTGACTGTGACGGATGAGTGTTATCGAGTCGCCCCCGGGTGGGTGGGGGATTATGTACCATGCGCCTCACCTCTCCCGCGCGCTCCTCTCAGAGCGGGGCAAGGAATTTATTATGCACCTCATACCCACTCCAGAGTAGATCATAGTAGTTTTAACAGTTGCATTTTGTATGTAGTAAGCTTCGATAGAAACATTACTTTGTTAATCATTAAAGAGAGGTACAAACTTAATTTTAATTTTCACAAAAGAAATACCCCCCCCCGCCACCCTCCACCACCTGTCCCACACCCTTAACAGATCAATCTCAACACAATTCACACCTCACAACCACATCTCACAGACACAACTCACAAGTACAACTCACAACAGTCACTACTCACAACCACATCTCACAATCACAACACACAACAGACACAACTTTCGCAACTCACAACCACATCCCACAATTACAACACACAAACACAGCTCACAACATACCCAACAGTCACAACTCACAATTACATCTCACAACATACCCAACAGTCACAACTCACAATTACATCTCACAATCACAACACACAAACACAACTCACAACAGTCACAACCACATCTCACAATACAAACAACTCACAACACACAACTCGCAACTCATCACAAACACACACAACTCACAACCATTTCGTTCTCATGTTTACACCATAGGAGCTCTTTTTAGTTTAAAAAATACTTCCACCATCCATCATCTATATTGTGAGAGAAGGCAAAACCTATGGATAGTGTATATAGTTTTTAAAAAGGACTGAATAGGAGGGAGTCATGTTCCATATAAATACTTTACATCATCCAATATCTATGAGCAATAAGAGGCAGAAATGATCCCCACTTACAAATTCTCATCAGTTACTCAGAGTGTGTTAGCACTATGATTTTTAGGAGATTAGTCAACATAGAGAAAACAGCAAGCCTCAAATCAGGTGTAAGTCAGCTGGTCAAAGCGATGCACAACGCTTCTTGCATTTCTCACCGCCCATTTCCTCATGTTCCACGTAAATGAGGCTTCAAAGTTACCAACACCCAAGATTTTATAATGAAATGGAAAACGCCATGCGCGCCTTCAAACCCTAAACCCATAACGAAACTGGAGACTTTGAAACACATCAGATATATCAAAGCTTTGCAACCATACTTCCCCCGGAACCCAAAGACTTTGGTTTCCCGGAAGCTGACCGAAAAAGTAAGATTAATAATTCTAACACGAATTTTCTCAATATTTCTTATATATACATCAAAGCAGAGAAATTGATAAAACAATAACTAGACTAAGGTTGGGACACGTCAAACTGTCAGCACACAACTCTAAATACTGAACAGACAGGACCAAACTCTGCACGCGTTCTCATGTCCTTGAAACAACTGAACATTATGATCATTCCTGGTAACATAAAGTAATATGAGGTAACATGGAAACTATCTTTCTGTTGTCCAAATAACATTAGTAAAAGTAAAAGTCTGTTTTAGACTGTCTTCATTATAACAGTCACCAAATAATATTAGTGTTATTCTTGTAACATAACGTAACGTAACAGGGAAACACCAACTTCTGAGTCCAAATACCATTTTTAAAGTAAAAACCTGTTTAGTCCGTCTTCAGTATAACAGTCACCAAATAATATTAGTGTTATTCTTGTAACATAGTGTAACGTAACGTAACAGAACATGAAAAACATTGTTCTTTTATCAAATAACGTGTTTTTATGAGTAACAACCATCGTAGGAAGACTTCATTAGTATTATAACCCACATAAATCATTGTTACTGTGTGTTTTATGTCTTGTAACGCAACATAACCTACAGGTAAACATTACCTATTTGTATAAATACCATTTTAAAGTAGAAGTCAGTCTTCATTATAATTATATCACATCCAAAGCAATGCTACTGTGCATTTTATTCCTTGTAACATATTATATCACATCGTAACGTAACAAGGAAACATGCATTTCTCTTATCCAAAATATCATTTTACTTTAAAGTAGAAATCTGTTTTAGTACATCTTCCATATAACAGTCACCAAATAATATTTGTGTTATTCTTGTAACATAGTGTAATGTAACATGGAAGTCATCTTTCTGCTGTCCAAAATATAGATTTTTTTTAATGTAAAAGTATGTCTTAGACCATCTCAAACACATCTCCCACTAATAAATATTACTGTGTGTGTGTGTGTTTTAGTACTTCTAACACAATGTAACGTAACATGTAAATCAACTTTCTGCTGTCCAAAATATCTTTTTAAAATGTAAAGTATGACCTAGTCCATCTCAATTACATCTCATACCATATAAATATTCCTGTGTCTGTTTTAGTCCTTGTAACACAATGTAACGCAAGGTGGAAATCATCTTTCTGCTGTCCAAAATATCTTTTTAAAATAGAAGGTATGTCTTAGACGATCTCTTTTACATCTCCTACCATGAAAACAAAAAAATTAGTGAAAACAAACTTAATTTTAGTTGCCAAGAATTTTTTTACTTTTAACTGTAGATGTAAAGGAGATCGTCTAAAACATACTTTACATTTAAAAAGATATTTTGGACAGCAGAAAGATGATTTCCACCTTGCGTTACATTGTGTTACAAGAACTAAAACAGACACACAGTAATCTGTCATCCATCTCAGAAATGGACGGGACCCTCGTAGTCACCTTTTCCCCTACTGCTATCATGCTTTCTTACATCCATTCTGTCGTAAAACCATGCTGTCCTATAGCCATGCTGTCTTATAACCAAGCTGTCTTGTAACCAAGAAGTCTTACAACCATGCTGTCTTACAAACATGCTCTCTTACAACCATGCTGTCTTACAAACATGCTCTCTTACAACCATGCTGTCTTCTCCTGTCTTATAACCTTGCCGTCTTATAACTAAGTGGTCTTATAACAATGCTGTCTTATAACCAAGCTGTGTTATAACTATGCTGTCTTATAACTATGCGGTCTTACAACCATGCTGTCCTACAACCATATCTTATAACCATGCTGTCGTATAACCAAGAAGTCTTACAACCATGCTGTCTTCTCCTGTCTTATAACCAAGCAGTCTTATAACCATGCTGTCTTACAACCATGCTGTCTTACAACCATGCTGTCTTATTACCATGTTTTCTTATAACCATGCTATCTTTCAACCATACTTTCTTACAACCATGCTGTCCTGCAACCATGCTGTCTTACAACCATGCTGTCTTACAACCATGCTGTCTTATTACCATGTTTTCTTATAACCATGCTATCTTTCAACCATACTTTCTTACAACCATGCTGTCCTGCAACCATGCTGTCTTACATCCATGCTGGTTGGCTACCATGCTGTCTTACAACTATGCGGTCTTGCCATCCATGATGTCTTACAATCATGCTGTATTTCAACAATGCTGTGTATAACCATGCTGTCTTGCCAACCATGATGTCTTACATCCATGCTGTCTTACAAACCTGCTGCCTTACAACCATGCTGTTTTACAACCATGCTGTCTTAAAACCTTGCTGTCTTACAACCATGTTGTCTTACAAGTATGCTGGCTGGCCCCCATGCTGTCCTACTACCATGCTGGCTGGCAACCATGCTGTCTTACAACCATGCTGCCTTACAACCATGCTGCCTTACAAGCATGCAGACTTACAACCATGCTGTCTTACAACCATGCTTCTTACAACCATATTGTCTTACAACCATATTGTCTTACATCCATGCTGCCTTACACCCATGTAGCTCTAAATCCTATTAAGATACAACGCTGCTGCCCCACAACCATGCTACTCTACAACTGCATTAAACTACAACCAAGCTTCTTATACCTTAGGTACTTCTCAGTGTTGACGCAGAGAGCTGCTCGCCCACTACAGATCGTTCTCCTAAGCTTTACCATCGTCTAGAACCTGACGTACTAAAGTGCCCTTCTCCCAACCAACCAGAGGATCTAAAACAGAAAACGGGACAGTGTGTGACAATTCCTCCAGCCGCTAGCAACCATTTTCTTGTACGACCGTTTTTGGCCGTAGGTAGAGTGTACGTCATAATGCGACGTTCTGTTAGGAGGCCGGGTTGTTCACTGAGACGACGACACTCCCTATAATCCTCCACTGAGGCGACGACACTCCCTATAATCCTCCACTGAGGCGATGACACTCCCTATAATCCTCCACTGAGGCGACGACACTCCCTATAATTCTCCATTGAGGCGATGACACTCCCTATAATCCTCCACTGAGGCGACGACACTCCCTATAAATCTCCACTGTGGCGACGACACTCCCTATAATCCTCCACTGAGGCGACGACACTCCCTATAATCCTCCACTGAGGCGACGACACTCCCTATAATCCTCCACTGAGGCGACGACACTTCCTATAATCCTTCTTTGAGGCGACGACACTCCATATAATCCTCCACTGAGGCGACGACACTCCCTATAATCCTCCACTGAGGCGATGACACTCCCTATAATCCTCCACTGAGGCGACGACACTCCCTATAATCCTCCACTGAGGCGACGACACTTCCTATAATCCTTCTTTGAGGCGACGACACTTCCTATAACCCATCACATATCGACGCACTTGAGTCGACTACACCCCTATAATCAACCAATAAGTTAAGAAAATACTCAGAATCTTATATATTGTTAGATAACGAGAACTGATCTTTTCCATTGCTTGCGAGGATCGCTTTCATGAGATCGAAAATTATGTTTAGCGTTTTGAATACACTCAATATCGGTATTATTATTTTGTTCCCAATATTTTGCTTGGTTTCATGTCATGTATTTATATGCCGAAATTGAATGAATATATTTAACAGGTAAGGCAAATGATTGCTTGTCAACAATTTAGATATTCTATCTCTCATTCTGTCTCACTCTCACTCTCTCTCTGTCTCACCAGGAGGAGGAGTCGACACGGGAGTCAGTTGTACTCAAGAACGTGTCCGAAGACACTTCAGGGGTCTTCAAGTGTGAGGTGATGGGTGAGGGTCCCTCCTTCAGGACAGCCGTCGAGACCAAGGTCATGAATGTTATAGGTGAGTGATTAGGAATAGAAGGAGGGGGGGAGGTGAGTATGGACGGGAAAAGATGGTATAATGGAAGGCTAACTAGGGGAATTACGAGACTAGATAAAGATATATGGTGGAAGACCTGTAGAAAGCATGATAGCGAGTGTCAGGGCTCACCCCCTCTCCTACCTATGGTTGTGGTCGTCCCACGGGTCTTCGCTCCTCAGTACCAAGCGCCACCGCTCGCCCTGGTGCACCCCCAGTCAAAGATTGATTGATAAAGATTAAGCCACCCAAGAGGTGGCACGGGCATGAATAGCCCGTAAGTGGTACAATTTTTTTTTCTCAGTATTCTGAGGTTGCATTTAACCATCAGGCTGTTATCGTGGGGGAGGATACTGCTTCACAGTCTTTATGAGGGTGTCCAGCTGCTGGACACCTTTGTTGACCAGGAGAGTGGCTGTGTTGATGGCTTCAGGGTGGCCACTGCATGATTCAGGAACTCTTAAAGCTCTTCTAAGGTCATTGGTTGCTTCACATTCCAGAAGATAGTGAAGTAATGGCTTTTCTGTGACAGTTTGGCAGAAGATGCACTCTCTCTGTCGGGGTTCACCAATCTCCCAGTTGCATCTATAACCTAGACGTAGTCTATATAGCCTAACTGCTATTTCCCTGTGGATTCCTTTTGGGATATTTAACCTTTCTAATTTGGTTGCCTGAAGATACCATGTTGCAGATGGCGAACCTTCAGCTATTCTCTGGTGCAGGTAGGCTTTGTTGAGATGTGAGAGTTTTTTGGTGATGATGTTTTTTATGTTCTCTAGGCTGGGTTGAATTGTTTTATGTATCACTGGATGACGAGTTGCCAATTTAGCAATTTCATCAGCTTTTTCATTTAATGGGATTCCAATATGGGATGGGATCCAGTTTAAAGTCATGTTGAGGCCTTTGCCTTTAGCGACTGCTCCTTGATACAAAATGGTGGTAATTATTTCCACTGTTTTTGTCCTAGTATTTGAAGTGCAGCTTTTGAGTCTGTGTGTATGATTGCATTTTGAGTGTTTTGTGCAATCACATATGCGAATGCCTGTTGTATGGCAAACAGCTCAGTTTGGGTTGATGATACTAGTCCTCCCAGTCTCCAATATGCCTGAACGCTGGTCGTGCAAAGAGCAGCGCCAGCACTCTCATTTTCTGTGTCCACCGATCCGTCTGTGAAGATGTGGGTGGCTCCTGCTACTGCTATGCTATACATTTGCTCTTCTATTATGCGCCTTAGGATTGTCGGATCATAGGCAGCCTTTTTCATTGGGAGACTTTCTATTACTATTTTGAAAGTAGGCTCTTCCCACGGCGCGGAAGGAGTGTAATTTGGGTGTGGATGATCACCCTCTCTATCAAGAATCATGTTTTTAAATGTAGTCTGTTTAGGACTTTTCCTGCTCTTCCAACCCAAGAGTTTCCATTGTTTTGGCCTAGTCCAACCACCAAGGCCTGCCGTACTGGGATTGGATCAGAAGAAATAATTATCTTACTGATAATTGTAGCTGTCCTTTGTGATATTCTTTCTTGTAGAGAGGGCAAACCCGTCTCCAGTCTAAGAGTTTCAAGCCTGGTCCACATGGGGGCTCCCAGTGCAGCTCTCATAGCATTGTTTTGGGCAACTTCAAGCTTTTTCCACTGTTGGTGTGATAGATTTGTGAGTGCAGGTGCGGCATAATCGATCACTGATCTGACTGCCTGTACATAGTATGTGCGAAGGACTTGCAGATTGGCTCCTCCAGAAAGGGAGGTTAGCGACCTGAGGATTGCCGTCCGGGCCGCAGTTCGCTCTCTCAAGTATGTGACCTCAGCATTAAAATTCATGTGTGTGTCCAGGATGATTCCTAGATACTGATAGGTGTCGACCCATTCTATTGGTTGACCCTGTACTGTGAGTTGGATGTTGGGCTTCGCTATTTTTATGGGCATGGCCTTTGACTTTGAGGGGTTGAGTTTGATCCCAATCTGTTTTGCCTCTTTACTGATGCAGTCTAAGCATTTGGGTGCAAGGCGCGCCGCATCCCTTCCTTTTATGATGATGACAAAGTCGTCCGCGTAGTTTAGCAGCCTGCAGTGATGTGGGAGTTTCAACCTCATTATTCTTTCCATTAAACAGTTGAAGAGAAGAGGGCTAAGAATACCTCCTTGCGGTGTACCATTTTCATGTCTTTTGTACTCAGAGACTGTGCCATGAAGTTTTACTCTTGCTTCTCTGTTTATGAGACAGTTTTTGGTCCAGGAGAGCAGGTTGTCAACTAAGAGCTGGCCTTATATATACCCCTAGCGAGTGGAGAGATTCAAGTCTACCCGTGATACACCTGAACCTGCCCGTCTTGACACTGGGACCCTCTCTCTTTGATATCTGGTCCCCAGCTGGGTGTTTGTACTCGTGTCCCAGCAACACGTCAGTGGTCTCATTAGTTATTTTAATTTAAGGAGGCAATCTTATGAGCAGTGCAAGGTGATATCAACGGTTTCACTCAAGATAGCCCAAGACAATGGAGGCTCACTTAAACACATAGGTAAGATAACAAATTTACTGAAGAAAAATATATCTCGGCTCCATATGTCAGACCGGCGGGGACACCACTCGCGCCTCTGGCAACACTATCAGCTGGACGATTCAAAATTCGTTTCTGGCTTCTTGAGAACCAGCTACTATTCCCAGATACACTAACGTCGCCGCATCTACGTACTTGGAGGACCTCAATCTTGGAGCACCAGTTGCATACTTTACACCGCCTGCTATCGCTGTATCTATCATCGATAGATACAGCGGCTTCACATCTGCGAGGCACTACACATCAAAACATCAACACCAGCAATCAACAGCCAATTAATGCACAACTATATTTTACCCACTTCCAGACTCCGTATCAATATAGAAGCATCATGAGGAAGTCTCCGTGGTGTAGTGGTAAGACACTCGCCTGGCGTTCCGCGAGCGCTATGTCATGGGTTCGTACCCTGGCCGGGGAGGATTTACTGGGCACAAATCCTTAACTGTAGCCTCTGTTTAACGCAACAGTAAAATGTGTACTTGGATGAAAAAACGATTCTTCGCGGCGGGGATCGTATTCCAGGGACCTGCCCGAAACGCTACGCGTACTAGTGGCTGTACAAGAATGTAACAACTCTTGTATATATCTCAAACAAAAAAAAAGTATGGGCCAATAGACCCTTTGCAGTTACTTCCATTCTTCCTTTTCACTTATCCAATTTATACCAATTGAACCATGTTCTGTCTTGTGTTGGTCAAAAGTTTGTTAACCTCATACAAAACTGTTTCAACATATCACCTCACCCAAATGCGAGTATATAAGACAAGCTGTTTAGCGTTAGAATTAGTAAAACTGTGTTAAGAACATAAGAACAAAAGCAACTGCAGAAGGCCTATTGGCCCATACGAGGCAGCTCCTATTTATAACCACCCAATCCCACTCATATACATGTCCAACCCATGCTTGAAACAATCGAGGGACCCCACCTCCACAATGTTACGCGGCAATTGGTTCCACAAATCAACAACCCTGTTACTGAACCAGTATTTACCCAAGTCTTTCCTAAATCTAAACTTATCCAATTTATACCCATTGTTTCGTGTTCTGTCTTGTGTTGATACTTTTAATACCCTATTAATATCCCCCTTTGTTATGTCCATTCACCCACTTGTAAACCTCTATCATGTCACCCCTAACTCTTCGCCTTTCCAGTGAATGCAACTTAAGCTTTGTTAATCTTTCTTCATATGAAAGATTTCTAATTTGGGGAATTAACTTAGTCATCCTACGCTGGACACGTTCAAGTGAATTTATATCCATTCTATAATATGGCGACCAAAACTGAACTGCAAAATCTAAATGGGGCCTAACTAGAGCAAGATATAGCTTGAGAACCACACCAGGTGTCTTGTTACTAACGCTGCGATTAATAAATCCAAGTGTCCGATTTGCCTTATTACGAACATTTATGCATTGATCCTTTTGTTTTAAATTCTTACTAATCATAACTCCCAGATCCCTTTCGCAATCCGACTTCGCAATCTCAACACCATCTAGCTCGTATCTTGTAACTCTATCATCATTACCTAACCTCAGAACTTTACATTTATCAGCATTAAACTGCATCTGCCAATCCTTTGACCATTTCAAAACCCTATCTAGATCAACTAGAAGTGATAGTGAGTCCTCCTCCGAATTAATTTCCCTACCGATTTTCGTATCATCGGCAAATTTGCCAATGTTGCTACTCAAACCTGAATCTAAATCATTTATATATATATTATAAACAACAGAGGTCCCAGGACAGAGCCTTGAGGCACTCCACTTACAACATTTTCCCACTCTGACTTGACTCCATTTATACTAACTCTCTGTTTCCTTTGGTATAGCCATGCCCTAATCCAGTTTAATATAGCACCCCCAATACCATGAGCCTCTATCTTTTTAATCAGTCTTTCATGAGGCACTGTATCAAAAGCTTTGCTAAAGTCAAGGTACACAACATCACAATCCTTACCACTATCAACTGCCTCAACTATGCTAGAATAAAAAGATAACAAATTTGTTAAACATGAACGGCCATTTATAAAACCATGTTGCGACTCAATTATTAATTTATGTTTTTCAAGATGAAGACGAATTTTATTTGCTATTATAGATTCGAGTAACTTTCCCACAATAGACGTTAGGCTAATTGGTCGATAGTTAGACGCAAGTGATCTATCTCCTTTCTTAAAAACTGGTATCACATTAGCAACTTTCCAAAACTCTGGCACTCTGCCTGACTCTATTGATTTATTAAATATGGTTGACAGTGGGTCACAAAGCTTCTCTTTGCATTCTTTAAGCACCCTGGCAAACACTTCATCCGGCCCTGGGGATTTGTTTGGTTTGAGTTTTACTATTTGTTTATGAACATCCTCCCTGGTAACTGCTAAACTCGTCAACCTGTCCTCGTCCCCACCCACATAGACTTGTTCGGCT